TTGGGGCAGTGGAACATTTTGGTTGGAAACTCCTTTAGTTTTTACAAGAACCAGATTTGCAGAGCAGGATCTGTTTGCTCATTGACTGCTGTGTCTCCTAAACCTTCTTTTTGGGACCCATTTTCCACAGGCTGGGGGTGAAGACACTTTTTCTGTGGTAGGTAACAGAGAAGTCCCCAAGGGGAGCTCCATGAAACACCATGTGAGAATATGATTGGGATGAATTTCTGCTGCCTACACAGCAGCATCCAGCCATGGCTGCAAGAAAAAACAGAAGGTTATACCAGTGCCACTGAGCCTGGTGGGACAATTGTGAGTTTGTCTCTAGGATGAAAGAAGGAAATCAGTTTGGACTGCGGCAAAGCCTGGAAAGCACAGTGGGGAGATTTAATGAGAGTTTAATCACCACTTTTAATGGGATTTGCTGCAGGTCCTGCAGGGCAGAGGAATGGTAGACTCATAGAATCATTAAGGCTGGAAAAGACCCTTAAGATCATCAAGTCCAACCATTGACCCAGCACTGCCAAGACCACAACTAAACCATGTCCCCAAGTGCCACATCTACTCTGCTTTTAAATCCCTCCAGGGGTAATGACTCCACCACTTCCCTTTCCCAGCCCTTGACAGCTCTTTCCATGAAGAATTTTTTTTCCTACCATCAAATTTAAACATCCTCTGGTGCAGCTTAAGGCCACTTTCTCTCATTCTGTCACTTTTTACCCGAGAAAAGCGACAAACTGGAGCTCCCTGCCCATCACGCTGGGTTATCTCTGCAGGACTCGCTGTCCAGCTCCAACATGGACCAGCCTCAGGTCCCCACTGCACTTTGGTGCCTCAAGTGAGCACCTGGATGTGGTGCCCATTTCCAGGTGAGCCCTTAGGGGGGGCTTAGCTTGACAGGACCTGTGAGGGGGAAGGTGTTTTAGAAATCCAAGTGGTCACTGTTTTTCTCCATGGAAGATGAACAAATTTCACCATTAGAGGATCAGCCTTGACGATGGTTGCTGTAACCTTTACTCCTTCTCTGAGCATTTTTTCTCCTGAAGAAGTAGCTGCCAGGCCAATTCAGAGGGACTGCTCTTTCCAAAGGTGGAAAATGCTGGGCATTGTGTCCAGCCTGTGTTTGAAGTGGGAAAAAAGCAACTTTGAATAAGCTTTTGATGGGGCCCATGGCTCTGCTTGACCATAATGTCAACTTGTAATTAGCAACAGATACCACTTCTGTCACTCCTGATGTTATCATCAGCCGTCTTGCGTTTCAAAGTGAGGAGAGGCATGTAAATTATGGGCAATTTGGTCTCTGAAATGGATTTTATGGGTTTTTTTTCTGCTGGGTGACCCAGGAAGCCTGGAGTTTGTTACAGAGATAGTTGTTGAGCCAGCAGAGAGGAGCAGGAGGAAAGCAATGAACGTTCCAGAGCTGCTCCTGCAGATCCCTGGAGGAAACACATCCATGCCAGCTCCTCCATGAAGGCAAGGCTGAGTGGTGGCTCTCACAGGGGCTGGGTGTTTTGAGGAAGGAGGAGAGAAGGTTTGGAAGGAGCCACTGTTCTGGAGTGGGGGTCTCTGCAAGGCTCCATTCATACATGGATGTGGAGAGCTGGGTGGGAAGAGGGTGCCTTGTGCCTGGGCAGCCAATGCAGTCTGATTTCTGCTCTGCATATTGCAGGCACTCAGCTCACTAAGGCTTAGCTGGCCTGAGAACAACTGAGGCAATCTTTTCCCCTCATTGATAGAAAATGTTGCCTTCAATTAAAATTCAGTTTTCAGAGTGAAGGAAAGGCTTGTGTCTCCCAAAACACAAGGTTTGAGTTTTTGTAAGAAAAACAAAACCCCCAAACTCACGTAATTTCCAGTTTTGACCAAAAGCAATTCTAACTTTTGTTAGAATAAAGGGAGCAAACAATTTTTTGCTTCTTTTTTAGAGTGGGGTGGAGCAAGGGAAGTCTACCTCTTGCAGCAGGTCCAGTGAGTTTGCCAGATCCCCTGGCACTGCTCTGCAGCTCAACAGATCCCACTGCCAGAGCAGTGGCCTAATATTTGATTTTTGCTATTTTGATTTTATATTTGATTATATTTATATTTGATTATTTTGCTATTGCTGTACCAATTACCAAGTGTCTTGTTTCTCTGGCTTTCTGCAGAAGGACTCACACCAGAGCTGCTCTTTACAACAGCTCCCCAGGAAATGGGCTAGAACAGAATTTGGCCCCACATTGACTCTGTGGTGTCAAGTTCTCCCCTTTTTTTTGCTGGAGGAATTCAAGCATCACTCTGCTGCTCCAATCTTTCTATCTACCACTGGCAAATAACACAGCCAAGAAGGTTATCTGCCTCAAACAGAAATAGCTTGTGTTTAGAAAAGAATTAAAATTTGTTCCCTTTAGAGTTACAACCACATCCTCAAAGCTGTTAACCTGAAAGTGAACTTCAGATAATAAAAGTCTAACCTCACCCCTACAGAGGAGCCAGCAGCCAGGAGCTACCTTGTGTGCTCTGCCCCATCGATTGCCTGATAGCACAGCTTGTTTTTTTTTTTTCAAGGGAAGACAGCTACTAAATCTGTGCTCCCCATCCCTCTCAGCACTCTTGGGCTTCTCCACAGCTGCAAGGCTTTTCCATCGTCCCTGCTCTCAGTTAAATAAACATTATGACACATACTGATTGCTTTAACAAACTTTACTGTTCCACGTCCTCGGCAAAGCACGGTTATCTTTTTACAGGGAACATTCCTTTCCTGTTGCTATGCCTACTTCAGCACCATCCAGCATGATAGCCAAGACTGCTGAACAAACCCACAATTTCCAACCACTCCATTTTGCTCATCTTGAAATAGCTCAGAAGGGGTGTGGGGCCAGACCGCCAGCAGATGTGAGCTGTCACAGCTCCTCTGCCACAGCTCATCCCAGCAAGGACCAGGCCATGCTGCTGCAGGCTGAATGTTGTCTTCTGAAAATGCCTCAGAGCTAAAAATGTCTTTGTGGAGTGAGGTGAGAGAAGGAAAAGAGGGGTGTAGTCATAAATATTCTCCCAGCACAGCAGGGGAAGGTTGGTTTTATCCTCCCTGTAAGGCTGCGCTCGATCTTCTATAATTTGCAACTAAATTACAGAATCCAGAAATATTTCTGGCAAATGGTCTCACAACCATTCATCATCATCGTGCACAATTTCCTTTGCATGACAACCTATGTTTTAAAACTCGCAAAGAGAGGGGAAACTGTCATTTGTTTTGGCCAAGCCAAAATCGCCCTTGGCCCGGGGGCTGGTGGTGCTGGGGCTGCTCACGGTGATAAGCCCAGCAAGGCAGGTCCTGCCAGGTGGGTGAGGGCATCTCCTGCTCCTCACATCACCCAATGGTTTGAAGAAATGAGTGCATTTCAGTTTCCTCCAACCATTTTTCACCTTTAACACAGCAGAGCTATCACCCATGTGGTTGTGCCACTTTAATTACTGCCAGGCAGCCCAAAGATATCAATGACAAATTTCCCCAAAGGCTGTGATTTCACCTTTTTACTTGTTGTTTTCACTTTCCTTTGTGCAAACATTTTCTTTTCAACCACGGGCAGGTTAGCTCCTGAGACACCTCAGTTCTCAAAGGTCTGATTGTTTGTCTAATGAAGTCTCAGATGCTCCAAAATACACCTAGTATGTTGGACAACAGAGGGACAGGCCAGAGAAGCTGAAGAGGATTTCTGGCAGTTGATCAATAGTAAAAAATAGTTCTTCCTCCAGGCATCAGCCAGAGTATTTTTGGGTCTGCAGGATGTGTGCCTGTACTGCCCTCACAGCTCTCTGGGGTGTGAGCAGGGGAAAGGACTTGGAAGGAAGCAGATAAATCCCAGCCCAAGTCACTTGTAGCTGTATTCCAACAGCAAGAACATTTACAGCTATGCAAGGGTTGGGGACAGCCCCGTTCCCAGGGCCAGGCCAGCACTCAGCCCTTTTGGGGCTTTCAGCACCTTGTGCCACCTCTGCACCCAGAGCTGAGTCCATCTCATGGGTCCAGGAGCTGAGGGCAGAGGTATCCCAGGGTCAGGGAGATTCTACACACAATTGAAGGGGTCACCTTGGGATAAACCCAGCACTTGCAGAGGTTTCTCTGTTCTCCCAAATGGGTTGTGCATGATGGCCCTCTGGGAACCCTCCACCAACCTTGCCCCAGGGGACCCAGCCTGGGCAAACCTCTCCCAAACCCAGGGGTGCTTCTGCTGGCAGGCCACCCAGGACTCATCTGCAGCCCCAGCAGCACAGCCAGGGCTCACTGGAAGCCTGTGTGGCTCAGGAAGTGAAGGGATGAGAGAGCTGGACAGGCCCAAACCCAGATGGGGAGAGATGGCCACGTGAATGGAGGAAATTATTCAGAACCTGGAACTGTGAACAGCACAGGCTGCATGCCCTGGGTCTTCAACTGGCCTCTCCTGACAGAGTGATTGGGTTTTTTTTTCCAGGACTCAGACAGGGATTCTTGGAAGCATATCAGGGCTGGGTGTGTGCAGCAGATCCACGTGGAGAAAATCTGTTGTCTGATGTCTGGAACATCAGCTGAGCATTTTTCCATTTCGCTCTTCGAAGGTTATACAAGCTGAAGATTAAACAGATGCATTCCTTATGTTCATTTGTCTTTATTAAAGGAATAATGTACCTGCACATTACCAGCAAGCCCTACACCTAGAAGCACTGTAGGTTATAGTAGGAACAAACTGGCCTTCTGTGGAAAAAAACACATCCAAAGGCTCTTCTGGTCCATCAGGAACAATTCTTTGCTGTAATTCCAGTGCTTATTCTCACTGGTCAAGATCAGCCACGTTGGAAAGGGCTCTTTCCCACCCTTCCCTATTAGAACCTGCTCTGCCCTGCTCTGGAGCTCCCTATCCCCAGTCCCCAGCTCCTGGGCCAGGCCCCCTTCACTACCCTGGATTTGAGCTCACCTCACATTAACAAGCTGGCACCACTGGTCCCTTTTTCAGCTTTTCCAGCCCATTTCTCTGCTTTCTGCCTCTCCACAGAAATGGGATTGAACAGTCTAATTGTCCAGGCTTTAGGGAGAAAGGGGCCTCCAAGACACCTCTGTGACTCCCCCACCAGCTTTGCCTGTTTGCCAGCTTGACCCTGTGAGGCCAGCAGATGTTCCCTTTTGCTTTGGCTCCTTTCTGACCATTTGGCAAAGAGCTGTAGAAGCACATCAGACACCTTGGCTGCTTCTGGAAAGGGACCCCCTGATCACTCCCACCTCCATTCAGTCCCAATCAGCAGCTACCAGCCTTTGTTCTCACCCCATCCCTACAAGGTTTCTGAAGTCACCTTCTTGTCCTGCTCATCCAGCTTGCAGAAGTGAAATAATTCACCTTTTCCTCCTGCCTATGGTGGGGCCTCCACCAATTTACATCTTGGCTGGGCAAGAAAAAATCAAAGGCAGCGGTGATCCCCAAGCTTTGATCACCCCAGATGCTGCTGCAGGAGTTGTGACAGTCACAGGAGAAGGAGAAGATTGAGGGTGGATGGTCCCAGGTACCATTGTGTTTCATTTCAGCTCATTAAATTGAAATGGGATTGAGTTGCATCCAGACAGTCCCTAAGAAATACAGTCAGGAGGGTCAGTGGCAGGGTCCAGCCCTTGGACAACACTGGATGTGGAATGGAATGAAGAAATCAGTTCCCCATAGGACAAACAGATGAAATATTTGAATTTGTCTGAATTTTATACACAGGAAGGGCTAAATCTGCCCACCTGAGAAATTAATTTATTCCAGACCAGCCTCAAGCCTGGTCCTGGAGGCAAACACACCTCCCTGCCCCTGTGTCCTCTGGAAACACCCCCTAAATTAGTGGGAAGGGAGTCTGCTTTCCTGTTTGTGCAAGAACTGACTTCTCTGAAGATCTGCCAGTGCTGGGGCTGGGTTTCAGAAGCATAAAATACTGGGGAGATGAAGGGGAGCATCAGCAAAGGTCAGCAAGTATTTTGGGTTAAACTTCTTCCCAGATTTATGTGATGTTTGCATTGTCTGGCTTTCTTAAGCTGTGTGATTTCTTGCATTCCTATGAAACAAGAAGACAAATTCAAATACTCTATGTCCATTCATTTCTCTCCTTAAATTAATTTTGCTCCCTCTGGGGGAGGGCTATGGATATTTTACCTTTGGCTTCCAGAAGGCTCAGCTTGCTTTGAGCCTGCCTCTGCCTTTGAGCCTGCCTTGTAGTTCTTTCCTTTCAGGGAAAGAAAACAAAATCAAAATCAGACCCACATTTCCAAGTGTATCTATTCCCTACCATCTGTTTAGGAAAGAGGCTTAGTGAATCTTTACACATCTCCCAACAATAGGTGCAGAAAAGAAAAGTTTGGTGAAGAAGTGGAGAAAGAAATCTGCAAACTTACTCCAAGATGGAGCAACAGATGAGGTCCTGCCTCTGCAGAAATGACACCAGGAATCTGGTGAGGAGATGGAACAGGCTGCTTGCTGGATTTTCTGTCTAGGAAGCAGCAGGCTGCCAGAGTCTCCTGTAAATGGAAGTTCTGGAAGAGAGTAGCACAATCTGTCAAAGGGAAGAAGTGGTGCCAACCAACACCGCCAACAGTGGTGAAAATGGAGAGAGAAGACCTTTCTCTGGACCATTTGAGAATTTCTGTCCATTACAGAGCAAATCCCCACAAAATCCCAGCTCAGACTCAGCTATTCCAGAAACAATTGAACCACTTCAGAGCAGCAAGCAAATACCTAAATAATCCCTAAAGAGTCCTGGGGCCAGCAATAGGCTGAGGAGCCAGGTGTGCAGGGGTGGGTACAGAGCACACTGCTGCAGCTGTGCCTCTCCTGGAGTGATCCCTTTTCCCTTGGCCAGCCCCAGCAGCAGGGTCCCACCAGGCCATGGTCTCTGGGTCAGGGAGCCAAACTGGTCTGCAGTCCTGAGATGGCCTCAGGCTTTGCTAAAGAAAATGGTTTCACTCCTTTTGAGCCCTAACAGTGGGAACAGGACAACACCTGGACACACAGACCAGAGACATACACACTTTTGGGGTGCCAGGTATGTGAGTGCTCCCCTCAACCTCTTCCAGAAATCACTGCCCCACTAATCTTTCCTTCTTTCTGTCATCACCCCTTTCTTAACATATAAAGTGTGCTTCAGTCATTTCTTATCTCCAATAGTTCCCTGTGGTCCAATACAGAATGGGATAGGGGACAATGGAACAAATCATGGATGCAAGGAAGTGACTCCCAGAAGACACACACACACACACACTGTGAGGCACAGCATCAAATAACAATTCAGCTACCTGGAAAGAATATGTGGGTTCTCCCACATGGTTTTTTTTCCCTCCAGCCCAAAACTACAACTACAACTACAGCTAGATGCAATAGCTGCTTGCTGTGGCCACTTTGTAGTAAGAAGACACATCCTGGACAGCTGGAAAAACCAAGATGGGTTGTCACGTCTGCATTCCCTTCCCTGTCTTTCTTCCCTACTCCATGAGCACCCAAATGAGATTTTAATGGATTACTTTATAAGAGGAGAAATTCATACCTCAAACAGCAGGGACAGAGTATGTAAATGCCTGCACATTTTCCAGAAGGGGTATGGATTTTGCAGGAGGCTGCCCTTCTTTTGAGCTCTCTGCTCTAAAACATCTCTTATAAGAAAGTTGTCATTAAGTTATGTGACATTTTTACAAGTAAACAACTGCTGCTTAGAAATCAGTTCCAGTCCATCTGCAAAAGCCTGAAAAATGCCAAATTCATGATTCCAAGAGAATTTTATGTCTCAGGGCTCCCGCCACTTGATCCAGTAGCAGATCTGCACTCATTTTCCAGCAAGTTATGTTTAATTCTGGCCTCTTAGAGCCAGATTGCTTAGCCCTGGAGCAGGAAGTCTAATACCCCTTTCAGAACATCGTTAGCATTAACTATTTTTACTGCATATTCCTGTTATTCATGTAAGTGGATCCCCTCTGGCTCCAGGCAAGCCCCTGAGCATTTGCTCAAGTGAGCTTGGTGTGCTCCAAGCCACAGCAAAGGGCTCTTCCCAAACTTCCTGCAAGTGCTGCTCACTGAGCACGAGCTCCACAGCTGGACTGGCTGGCTTCCCTGGACACAGCCCCGGTCACTGCGCTCGTGGCTGCACAGGGATCCTGAGCTGGGGAATGGAGCACGGCCAGGAGGACACACAGGTGCTGTGGCAGCTCTGCTGACCCACAGAGTCAATCACACAATGAACCAGGTTGGAAAAGACCTTTGAGATCATCAAGTCCAACCAATGACCTTGCACCTCCTCATCAACTAAACCACGGCCCTGAGTGCCAGGTCCAGGCTTTTCTTAAACACCTCCAGGGATGGTGACTCCACCACCTCCCTGGGCAGACAATTCCAGTGCCCAATCACTCAGTAAAGAATTTTTTTCCTGATGTCCAACCTAAACTTCTTCTGGCACAGCTTAAGACTGTGTCCTCTCATTCTGTCAGTGGTTGCCTGGGAGAAGAGACTGACCCCCACCTGACTACAGCCACCTTTCAGGGGGTTGTAGGGAGTGATGAGGTTCCCCCTGTGCCTCCTTTTTTCCAGGCTAAACAATCCCAGCTCCCTCAGCTGCTCTTCTCAGGGTTTGTGTTCCAGGCCCTTCACCAGCTTTGTTGCCCTGCTCAGAGCCAGGGCAGACCCCATCCAGCCCTGCTCCACCCTGCACATTGCTCAGGGAGAAGGAAACCCTCTCTGACTGGGTTTTTCTTGTTGTTGTTGTAGGGCAGCTTGCCAGCCTCCCTGCAATGGCTTCAGAAATGCAAAACTGTCTGATCTACATCTCTGGTTCACACCTAGTTTTTCAATGGTATTTTTGGAGTGAGCCAGATTCTTAATCAGAAAAGATGTTACCTGGTGCCTCTGCAGTGAGGGTCAGTGCTAGTGCTTCCTCTCATCATATTCCCCCATTTGTTCTGCATTGAAAGCAATCCTAAAATCTACACTTGAGGTTGAAAAATCTTCTCCAAGGAAGATACTTTCAGTGTGATGATGGCATTTTTCCTCATCTGCTGTGAAAGTCATCGCTGCAAAGTTCCCTTTTAGCACTCTGGGCTGTAGCTCTGTATTAGGCCAACAAAAATAATAAGTCCTAAAATGAAAACCTCCAGATGATCTTGGCAGAAACAGCATGTCCATCACGAATGGAAATCACATTTGATACTCCACAATGGCAGGAAACTCACCTGGTTTTATTTAGTCTCCATGCAGCTATGAGCTATTGGCATTTCTCCAGAGTATCTTTTGAGAGGGATTTTTTTATTTTTTAACTCTCAGTTAGTGTCTGTCTTTTCTTATCTAGAACAGTCCTCATGTTTGATTTTCACAGAGGCCCTGTGCTGATTTTTTTGTTTGTCTACTGTAAAAAGGTATAAGGGAACTCAGCAATTCATGCATTTACAGCTCTGTTCCCACAACAAGGTTCTTAAAATAAAGAAATTGGCTCAGGGTAATTGCTTGATATGAGAGAGATTATACAGGCAATGAACATCTGTATCACAGCTACAGTTGATGGCTCTGAGTTCTGTATCATGTGCCAGGAGCTCCCTGCCAAAAAAAATACTCAGGAAAAAAAAATTTCCAGCCCAACATATGCTTATATAAGACTTCTCCAGTATGCAAAGGAGCTCATAAAAAAAATTAAAAAATAAAAAAAAAGAAGGAAAGGAAAAAGATGAGAGTGTTGAAATAGCTCAGGAAATTATGCAACCGATACCTGAGCCTGAGCATTGCAGATCCTACCCGGAAACCTCCCTATCTCACAAAGCTTTGGTAAAATAAAACAGGTTATCCTTCTTTTTGAAACCAAACTTGTTGATACGGTGTCAGATGGAGGTTTTTGCATCAGTGTGGTCAATGTGGTCACTGCAGGCCAGAGCAGCAGCAGCAGGGCCAAGTTTTGTGTCACCCCCAGCACCTGGGCACGGTGACTCCTCCTGATCCTCCTATTGCATAGAAATTAACTCCATTGCATGGAAATTAACTCCACTGCATGGAAATTAACTCCACTGCATGGAAACCCCCTGGGCTCAGCACACACCCCAGGGGCTGATCCCTTACACGGGCTGCAGTTGCCTCTGTGGCTTTAGCATGCAAGCTGCATGGATTAAAGGGAACAGGGAAACAAGTCTAGAATAAAATCAGTTGTGAATTTTTGCCAGAAAGTTAAGCTGACCTGCAGAAAACTAATTTCTGAGATAAGTTCAAGAGCATTTCCCACCTTATTATTTCCATGTTTGTGTGACACCCAGGAGGGTCACACCCCTTCTTCTCCAGGAACCTCGGCTTGGGGGGCTCTGTAATCCCCACTCATCTGTAATCCCCAGCTCCCTTGGGGCTCCCAGAAATTCACTTGGGAACCTGAAAAAGTTGCAGTTCACCCCATGGGTGAACAGGTGAGGGTTCTGTGAGCCACAGTTCACTGCTCAGCACATGGAAAGAGCCTGGCTGGGACTTGCCCGGGCACAGCACTGGGAGCTCAACACCACATCCTCAGACTTGCCACAGGAGATCCCCTTCTCACCCAGCAGAGGAGGAGGAGGAAAAGCTCCCAGGGGGAGCTGCTGACCAGAGAAGCTCTGGTTCTGTTGTGTTTTGGTGAAGAGCTCACCCATCCCATGACCAACCACCATTGCTAATGATTTGTGTCTGCACTAAAGGTCTGGACACCAAGAGAAGGAAAAGAGAAGCTTCAGACCTAAATTTTGCCAACCAGTCGTGTTGTGAGGGGAAGGCAAAGGCAGGACAGGAGCAGAACAATCTCCTTGCCCTGAGTGAAGCACACACCTGTATCCTGAAAGAACACAACTGCCTGCAGAATGATTTGATGGGAGCCCTCACGTAGCATGGTGTGAAAAAATATTTCAGGCCTGGTTTGGAGTTCAGTGGAGCTGATGGGAGTTTCCATAGCAGCTTCAACAGGCCAGAAGCTCACCATGTTCTTGTTCAGCCCCTAGGAAGCCACACATTCAGGGGGATGCATGTCCTTTCCTTCACCTGGGTCTCTCCCTGCTCCCACACTAGCCACCTCACTGCTCCAAACCACAGCCCACTTTCCTCCTTGCAGCACAGCTCCTTCCCCATCAGCCCATGGTGAGCACATTCACAGAGCCTGCAGAGATATGTTTCTCCTCTTGGGCTGCAGAGCCCCAGAACTGCCTGAAACCAAATTAATAGCTTAATGTCAGGGAGAGAAACACATCCCAAACCCAGAGCACCTCATAAACAGCCCCACTGCAGGATCTGCCCATGCCCTTTGGCCCAGTGGGACCTGAGCCCCATGTTCACGAAGGAGCCCTTTGCACCTCTGAAATGCTGTGAGCTTGTGAAACCAAGTTCCAGCAGTCCCAAACTCCTTGGTGCCCCAGAAACTGAGTGAGCAGAGGGGCTGGGAGAGCTCCCAAGCACGTCTCAGTGGGCAGAAGGAGGACTATCTAATCAGATGTGGATGGAGAACAAATAAAAAACAGCTGCTTCTCACCACATCTTCTCCCAGCTGAAAA